TATTCACAAAACGGTGGCCCTGCTTATTGCCTTTTCTTTGCCTTCTTTCAGTTTTCTTTCTTGCCAATCCACTCTTTCCTTCATTTCTGTCTATACTAGTTTTATTTGTAAACCTACGATACTCATTTTCAAGTCAGATCTATTTAACAATTTTGAAGATATCGGATCATGTCCACCACTGAGTTTATTCAAATCAGCAGGTTCTTATGGACTTTTCAGTCTTTCCATGTAAAAGCGAAGCCTTGACATCAGACTGGGTGATGTCAGAAATGAGTAATTCGAGCTCTGTTGTGTTTATAAATGGTGTTTCGCCTTGAATTCCTGATTTTTTCCTTTATTAGGGTCAACGAGTGAAGAAAATCCTCTATCCGGAGCAGTGTGCAAATCTTCTCGAAGGAGACACAATCGTTGAACTCGATGGACGGAATGTCCGAGCGATACCTCATACACAACTTGTCGACATGCTCAGGGAGTGTCCAGTGGGCCATCGTGGTCGGCTCGTGGTCCGACGAAGCTCGCCGAAACATCGGTCAGTACTGTTCATTAGTGTCTCATTTCATCTCTTTTCCTTCCTTTCTAACCATTGTTTTTACCCTATTCGACAAAATTACTATTTATTCGAGCTATTCGTACCTCTTCCCACCTGGTCATTGTTTTGAGGGTACGGCGACCCTTCCACTGTGTAATGTCCAGACCGTTATTCATGGCGACTGATCGAATGACTCGTCTATGGCTAAAGCTCTTTCCCAATATCCGATCTGCAGGATCACTCCAATCACGAACTGGGACTAAAGACTTGAAGCGACCTACTTCAGCTAGATAACACTCACTGCAAAGCCTGTAGAGCATTTGTGATTTCCTCTACGAACTCGTACCCATGCTTCTCCACCGCGTCACAGCTGACGTAACTAAAGTTTTGTTGTCCAAAGACGTAAATATTTCTTCAAAGGTGCAGTGGAAGTAAGATGCTGCTCCAGAATTCTCATTGTATGAGAGGAATGAAAATTCCAATCCTCCAGAAATAAATTTTCTGAAAAAAAAAACACAATAACCTTGTAGGCAAGTAATTTCCGAAGAGAGAATCTAAGCTGAGCTCGAAATTGTTATATCCAAGAAGGGGTTGATTTTTTTCTTGCAAGCGCAGGCATATCTTCATCAGCTCGGTTCAACTGTCAGGGAAATTCAGCTCTAAACTGATACTTTCGTGATTCCAGGTGAAATCGATACTTCCGGGAGGTCTGGCAGCTGAAGATGGAGTACTACAACCTGGTGACGTGCTGGTACGAGTGAATGGCGAGCTACTGCTTGGTGCCTCTCAGTCAGATGCCTGTCGAATTTTTGTGAATATCCCTGTAGGCGATCCAGTTGCTATACAAGTTTGCCGCGGCTATCCACTACTGTTGGATCCGTCGAATCGGGTGAGGTTTATTAGTTATTTCGATGGATTGGCTTACAGTTGCTTCATTGCGATTCCTTTAGATAATCACCGAAAACGTTTATCAAACGGGTGGCAGAAGTCGAGAT